CGAACAAAACAAACTCAATTTTTCAAAATAGTATATAAACCAGTATCGGCCCTTTCTACTGCAAAGGCCCCATATTACACAAAGAGGCATTACAAATTGTTATATAAACTCTGTTATGCATAACTGAAAACATCTACGAACAGATCTGGAAACCATACTCAGCCAAATTAGTTCAATGGAAAAAAGAGCAAAAGATCTCTACAAGATCTACAGGCAATTCTCCCCAATATACAAGATGCTCAGCTTTAAAACAATATAAAAAAACCTATATATATAGCTATCTTTGCAGACAACTAGATCAAGTGTATGACCAAAATAATACATGCCTACTAGCTGGACTAGCGACAAAAAAGTTCAATAGTTGGAGCCCCATGTGGGTTTCCTCTAGTATATCTACAAACTTCATACTAATCTTAAAAGCTAGGTAAGTCTTGACCACTCTAGTAGGTTTAGGTCGCAGATAAATTGTTAAATTAGTCTAAGCTTTTACTCTTGTATATAATTTATATGTATTTGTATTTGTACAAGTTAAGTTGTATATACAGTAGTTTACTATGTAACTTCTTATATAAATTATCCAATAAAGATATGAGCAAAACCTCATCTAAAAAAATAAAAAATAAAAAATAATAATAATAATAATAATCATAAATGGCAAAAATTCAAGTTTTTACTAAGTACTTTGATACTAACAAATCCCGGTAAAAAATAAAAATTTTAAAAACTTAAGCGAAGATATAACAACTACTTGCTTGAATCTGATAAAACTTTGGATTTGAATTCTATGGGTTCATAGAATTCAAATAAAAAAACTTCATCGAATTTAGCCATGTAGTTGTTGAGATATTTTCGCTCAAAATTAGAGACAAATCAAAATGTCTATCAAAATAGAAGCTGCGCCAAATTACTCACTAACTTTGAGCAAAGATATCTCGATAACTATCTGACCAAATTTGATAAATCTTTTTTTTATCGGATTCATAGAATTCAAATAAAAAAATTTGATCGAATTTAGTCAAGTGGCTATTGAAGTACCTTCACTCAGAGAAAAATCAAACTGTTTATCAAAATAGAAGTTATGCCAAATTTTCTTTTTAACTTTGAGCAAAGATATCTTGATAACTATCTGACCAAATTCGATAAAACTTTTTTTATTTGAATTTTATAGATTCATAGAATTCAAATAAAAAAATTTCATTGCATTTAATCAAGTATTTGTCGAGATATTTTCGCTCAAAGAAAAAATCAAAGTGCATATCAAAATAGAATTTACGCCAAATTTTTACTAACTTTGAGCAAAGATATCTCGACACCCACTTGACTAAATGCAATGAAATCTTTTTTATTTAAATTTTATGAATGCATAAAATTGAAAGAAAAAAGTTTTATCGAATTTGGACAGACCGTTACTGAGATATCTTTGCTCAAAGTTAGAGAGAAATTTTCTATTTTGATAGGTATTTTATTTTTCTCTAATTTTAAGCGAAGATGTCTTGATAGCCACCTGACTAAATTCGATCAAAATTTTTTTATTTGAATTCTATGAATCTGATAAAAAAAAGATTTATCGAATTTGGTCAGATAGTTATCGAGATATCTTCGCTCAAAGTTAGTGAGTAATTTGGCACAGCTTCTATTTTGATAAACGTTTTGATTTGTCTCTAATTTTGAGCGAAATATCTTAACAACCACATGGCTAAATTTGATGAATTTTTTTTTTATTTGAATTCTATGAGTCTATAGAATTCAAATCTAAAAGGTTTTATCAGATTTAAGCCGATAGTTGGCATTATATCTTCGCTCAAAATTTTTAAAATTTTTATTTTTTACCAGGATCTGCATGTTGATCAGTATCAAAAAAATAGGGAATCGCTAAAGCCTTGTACCTACATAATTTTTGAAGTTTTAATTGATAGTATGAGTCATTGGCTCATACTATCAAATGCCTAAAGTGATAATTAACTTAATATCTTAATCGATCACTTGATTGATTAGCCTTCAGAGAATACTGGGTATAAAAAATCGAATAAGTCAAATACAAGAACTTTTTTAATCCAATTTGATATGATTTACCTTTTAAAAAGAATATTGCTAATTCCAATTCATAAGAGCTTTTTTTTTATATCAAAGTTTTAGCTGCAGGGTTAGATTTGAAAAATGAATTTAAGCTACTATATAACTGGTACCAATAACTTCGAGCTATGGCTAAGCCACAATTTAAAGACATAGTTTGGGTTATAGCTTAGGCTGTTAGTTCAGCTTAGCTTTGTTAAGCTTGGCTTAAATTTGTAGCCAAAGCCAGCTTTTTGTAGAGTGCCTTTTATATTAAACTTCTACCAAAAATACAGAAATTTGAAAGTTTCACCATGAAAGGCTTTATTGATTCATATTTTTTCACAACTTCTTATAAACAGTAGAAACTTAGCTCTTTTATTGAAACACGTTCTGGACCAGGTTTCGTAAAAAGTGACTGCCTTTATTTTTACAAAGAAGGACTACATAGTATTTGTAAGTCATCGGAGTTTGACGACGAGCAGAAGACTATAGTGTTGAAGCTAATTGAAAAATATAAAGTGGACAAAAAGAAGTGTGCAGAATTGCTAAAAGCTCATGAGAACCAAGTCATAGCCCATTCGATTAGGTCAGAAATTCTCAAGAACAAAGTAAGTATCTTGCACTATTCTAACAAATGTTTTTTATTAAGATGTGTAGCTTATAAATATTTTAAAATCATATATAGCTTAAATTATTGGTTAACACTGCAAGGTCTGCAAATTCCACAATTTACATGACATTCACCCAAGCTGACGAATTCATTAGTGAACATAAAGTACAAGAAAAATAAATAGCAACAGGCTATGATTTCTTAACAACTGATCCAAACCCTGAATAATCACAAGGAAATAAACGTGACCTTGATAATGAGGTGGATGATGTGGAACGAACAATTGTTGGTGGCAAAAGTACTAGTTGGGTAGTGAATGGAATTAGCATTTGTCAAAGACTTACAGAGTATCAGGAAACAGGTTTTCCAAAAACGAAACCAGAATATTATGATACAATACTGTTCACTAACAAAAATCAAAATGGGTTTTTGGAAACACTAGAGGAAAATGTCATTGTACAAATGCATAAGGAAATAAAGAAAAAGGATGAGAAAACTGAAAATAATATCGAAAAAAAAATAAAGTCATTTCTGAATAATATTATTACTCAGAACATAAAGAAAACTAAGGAAAACCTTAAATTACAAAAGAATGATATATTCGAGGAGGATTTTGCTAAAATTTTTGTGAACCACATATGAGTTTATATTTTCACTGATAAGTGCAATAAGACTAATTAATCATGGTTTATATAGGATCGAACTTATTGAAAACGTAAATGTACTTCTCGAGGATATGTCTGAAGGAACATTCATTGCAATGGTTCTGGCACCAATCCTTAATTGACTTTTCATAAAAAACAAGAAGGTTTGGTTCACAAAGTATAGGAAAACATGTCTTAGAGCGAGCGCTGAAGAACAAAATTCCCAGAAAACAGATGATGAGCGATGCTCACCTGGTGAGAAGATTGATACTATTATCACTAGGGTTCCGCAATTTGATTTGATTTGATTTAATTTGATCAAATATTTGATCTCAAATCAAATTCAAATACAGAAATTTCAAATCAAATCAAATTCAAATTGACAGAATATTTGATTCGATTCGAAAATACTTAATAAAAATTACAAATAAATTTGATTTGATCAAATCAAATTCAAATCAAGAGCTTATTCGATTCGATCAAATTCAAATATGTAAATATTTGATTTGATTCGACTTTGAGGAACCCTAATGTTGTGCATAAAGTTAGTACTTGCTTAAAATTACAACTTCAAGCAGGTATTAATTTCAGATATGGTATTTATAATTTTGATTTGTAGACGAATTTTGCTATTTAAAAAATCAGAAGGTTTCACTAATTTATTCAAAGACTAATATATAATATTTATATTTAGAACTAAGTGAAATGACTAGGGCGAATAAATATTATAAAAATATAGATATGTATTTTTGCTTTTGATTTGTTAATTTAATTTTAATGATAATAAATGATTTTTTATTTAGGCAATGAAATTAAGACGAATCAAATTATTAATATAGACTATTATACGTTTGCAAAATTAGATAAATTAAGCTAGTAAAAGATGAGTTAAATAGAAATATGGGTTAGATGGTACGTTGTTTTAGTTTTGGGAGCAAAAAATTTAAGGGTTTAGATTTAAATTGATAGTTAGATAAATAAATAGTATAAATTGCTACAAGTAGGAGGTTTCGAAGTTAATAAATAAGTTGTACATTTTGAAATAAATAAAATCAGATTGCCAGATTACTTATTTAATAAATATGTTATCAATTTTAATTATAATTAGATTTTGTTTGTCTTGCTATTATCCTAATAATTATTGCGGGTTTGCGAAAAGGTGTGACCTCTGCAAATCATAATGAATCACAAGAAATTAGCCAATTTTAGCAAATTTTTTGATTCTTGAAAAATTTTAAAGATTTCGAATAAAATATAAGTGTTATTAATTGAAAATTATAGCAGTTTGCAAAAAGATGTGACCCTGTAATTTTGTGATGATCCAAGATAATTTTCGATCAATAACATTTATATTTTATTTGAAATCTTTAAAATTCTCTAAGAATCGAAAAATCTCTAAATTTTAATATTCCTTCTTTTAGCATCTACTAAAATCGGTCAATTTTTTATGATTTTACATGATATATTATGGTCTACAGAAGTCACCTTTTTGCAAACCGCTATAATATTAATAGGAAATTAAAATTTTGGAAATTGTTTTACTATTATTATTACGAAATCACATGGTTGCAGTTCAAATAATTAGTATAATTAAAATTTGAGTAAATTTAAATTTTGCTTTAATTTAAGTATATTTAGAAACACCTTATGTTAATTCCAAATTTACCGAGATTCTATTATAATGATGTATAAACAATAAACAGGTATGTAAAAATGAATAAATGTATAGGCATAAATAATAAATGCATAAATAAATAGATTAAAATTAAATAAATACAGTCGCACCTCCTAAGTACACACCTCTCAGGATCATAGTGAAAAAAATACAAAATGTGCACTTAGAGGAGGTGTATACTTAGGGAGATTAAATTTTATAATTGCTATATGAGTTGGGACCAAGCAGAGGCATGCATATTAGAGAGGTTTTTTATATACTGTGCACTTAAGGAATGTGTACTTAGGGGGGTCTAACTGTAGGTATATAAATAAATAGATATGTGAACAATGAGTAAATAATAAATAGATGTATTAATAATAAATTAATAAATTAATTGCATAAATTATAAATAAATGTAATATGAATAAATATATAAATAATGAAATTTTATAAAATAATTTTTTTTTGTAAATTAAAAGTTTTTATATTTATAAATTTTTTAAAATGCTATTAGAACAAAACAAAGGCCCTTGCAAAGTTAAAGATTGTAATCATAATGCAAATCGATATTATAAATTTATAGCAAAAGCTATTGAAAAATCCAAAGAAAAAAATACATTTGATGATTATAATTATTTAGTATTAAATGATCAATTATGTGATGCTCATTATTTAAGAATTGTAGAACCAGATAGAGGAAACAAAAAAAAATCAACAGATTTTGTTGCTAGCAAAAAAATTCATGAGGTTTTTATAGTTTCTGAAACTATTAATAATGAATAGAAAGATATTATAATTGATATTTCTGATGATTAAGTTACTTTAAATAAAAATAATTTTATTAAATTAATTAATAGAACTAATAAATTAGAATTACTTCAAGCAAAATCAAGTAAGTTTATTATATTTTATTTATTTATTATATTTATTTTTATATTTATAATATTAATATTTAATAATAATATTTCAGATTTAACTTTTGAAAATAAAATTGATTTACTTTCAAAAGTTCTTTTTAAAGAACAAAGAAGATTAAATTATTCAATAGAACTAGATCCTAAAAAATTTTCAGAATTAATTACAACTTCTAATTTTCAACTTAGTAGATTCTTTGATGAAATTTTTAATGCTATAAGTCCAAAATATAGAAATTCTCAAACTAGAGAAAATAATGAAAAATCAGCTGTTGGATTTTGTTATCTTCTTGCTGAAGCTCGAAATAAATTTAAAAATAGAAATAGGGCTTTATTTATTAGCATCTGGATGTAGCTCTTCTGCTATAGATACATTAGCAAATCTTGGAATTTCAGCATGTTATAAAACAATTGATGATTATAAGAAAAAAAT